GGTCTCTCTCTCTGGTCTCTCTCTGGTCTCTCTCAGGTCTCTCTCAGGTCTCTCTCTGGTCTCTCTCTCTCTGGTCTCTCTCTGGTCTCTCTCTGGTCTCTCTCTCTGGTCTCTCTCTGGTCTCTCTCTCTGGTCTCTCTCTGGTCTCTCTCTCTCTCTGGTCTCTCTCTCTGGTCTCTCTCTCTGGTCTCTCTCTGGTCTCTCTCTGTGGTCTCTCTCTCTCTGGTCTCTCTCTTGGTCTCCCTCTCTGGTCTCTCTCTGGTCTCTCTCTCTGGTCTCTCTCTCTGGTCCTCTCTCTGGTCTTTCTCTGGTCTTTCTCTGGTCTTTCTCTGGTCTTTCTCTGGTCTCTCTCTGGTCTCTCTCTGGTCTCTCTCTGGTCTCTCTCTCTGGTCTCTCTCTCTGGCTCTCTCTTCTGGTCCTCTCTCTCTGGTCTCTCTCTGTCTGGTCCCTCTCTCTCTGGTCTCCTCTTCTCTCTGGTCTTCTCTCTCTGGTCTCTCTCTCTCTGGTCTCTCTCTGGTCTCTCTCTCTGGTCTCTCTCTCTCTGGTCTCTCTCTCTCTGGTCTCTCTCTCTGGTCTCTTCTCTCTGGTCTCTCTCTCTGGTCTCGCTTCGGGTCTCTCTCTCTGGTCTCTCTCTGGTCTCTCTCTCTGGTCTCTCTCTCTGGTCTCTCTCCTCTGGTCTCTCCCTGCTCTCCCTCTGCTCCCCCTCTGCTCTCCCTCCGGTCTCCTCCTGGTCTCCACATGGTCTTCCACCTGGTCGCAGTGAGACGCTGGTCGCTCCTTTAGCTTTTCTTGCTTCTCTTGTGCTTTGCCACAAACTGCACCTTTAAAAATATAGAAAAAAACAGCCGCAAATCGTTCTTTTTGAATCGGAGAATCAGTATTTTGCATGAATATGAATAAAAACTGCAGATATTTTTGGCTTGTACAAAAAGTGAAGCAATTTGAAGAGAAAAAGAATGTACCGTTTCCGCTGTAAATATATGAGTATCTATTTAAATATGTCATTCTACTAATTCTATTAACGATTCAAGGTTTTCTGAGAAATCTTTACCAGTTTTTGAACATTGTCGGAGGAGTTTCTGTTCTCGACTCAAGGATCTGTGTAATCATTAAGAAAGTATTAAAAATGCAAATAAAAACATTGTACTTTGTCTCCTTTTAATCATTCATGGATATTTATACTATAGAGCTCTGTCTGGTCTCTCTCTGGTCTCTCTCTGGTCTCTCTCTCTAGTCTCTCTCTGGTCTCTCTCTGGTCTCTCTCTGGTCTCTCTCTGGTCTCTCTCTGGTCTCTTTCTGGTCTCTCTCTCTGGTCTCTCTGGTCTCTCTCTGGTCTCGCTCTGGTCTCTCTCTCTAGTCTCTCTCTGGTCTCTCTCTCTAGTCTCTCTCTGGTCTCTCTGGTCTCTCTCTCTGGTCTCTCTCTGGTCTCTGTCTCTGGTCTCTCTCTGGTCTCTCTCTCTGGTCTCTCTCTTGTCTCTCTGGTCTCTCTCTCTGGTCTCTCTCTGGTCTCTCTCTCTGGCCTCTCTCTGGTCTCTCTCTCTGGTCTCTCTCTCTAGTCTCTCTCTGGTCTCTCTCTAGTCTCTCTCTGGTCTCTCTCTGGTCTCTGTCAGCTCTGTCTCTCTTTCTGGTCTCTCTCTCTGGTCTCGCTCTCTGATCTCTCTCTCTGGTCTCTCTCATGGTCTCTCTAGATTCATGTAAGACTCATTTCTAAAGTTAACACTTTTCTCTCTTCTCAAACAAAGAGAAACGACAGATTTCTTCTTTCAACAAAAGCTGCAGAAAAACCAGGTGCAGTCGACACACCAGAGATTGAGAACCATGTGGAGTCGTCTGAAGTGCCTCTTATGCAGATTCTCGAAGCGTCTCAAAGCAGCATGTTTTTCTGAGGAGGAAGAGAAGTGCTCAGGGCGAAGATTCAAACGAGAAAATTTAAGTTCTCTTCTGGTAATCGTCTGGAACCCGATAGGATTCCTGGTGTATGGGACGAGAGGACACCATGAATCTGGAATGTAGTGGGAATGTTCCGATGGTCCAAGGACACACTTGTATCATGTCTGATTTAATAAAGTAAAAAAGTACTAAATGAAACAGATTCTGTGGAGAAACCTCTGCAGGTCTCATCACACTCCATACCTTTATTATTATTATCGTTATTATTATTATTGTTATCATTATTGGTATTATTATTGTTATTATTGTTATCATTATTGATATTATTATTGTTATTATTATCATTATTGTTATCATTATTATTATTGTTATTATTATCATTATCATTGTTATTATTATTGTTATTTTTATTATTATTATTGTTATTATTGGTATTATTATTGTTATTATTGTTATCATGATTGGTATTATTATTGTTATTATTATTATTTTTATTATTCTTATTATTGTACATAATCATCTCCTGCCAATTTTCTAACTTTAACATGTTTCACACTTCTGTCTTTTGCACAAATCTGAGTGATTCCGTCTGTGACACATTTCTCCATCACAGATTAATAAAGTCTCTCTCACTCAGAGATTTCATGACACTTTGTAGCAACTGTGGTTAAAGTTAAATTCATTCTAACATTTGCAGAAGGCAGTACTTTTCCATAGTTGTGTCTATCTGAAGGTTGAAGCTGCGGACACTGCGGAGAGAGCTGATTGGACGGTCTCCATTCCTCCGCTGTATATTATCACTTGCTTCTGTAAAATTCTTGTTCGTGCTGTTTCTACCATCAACAATAAAACATGTCTTCTGTCTGAATGAAAGACACGATCCCAGACTTTGTCATCTTCTTCAGATACACAGGAGCAGATCTCTCTCATAGGCCTCAAAGGTTTCTCACATTTTCCCTGCAGAGTTTTGGACTGGCTCTTGTCGCTGCAGCAGAGTCTGAGGACAGAGATCGTCTCGCTCCCAAAGACTAATCTGTGAAGTCCTTCCACACGACTGAGGCTGAGATTTAGGACTAGACACAAAACAAGTTTAAACCAGCTAGTTCTTGTAATATTATGAGTGGAGAAACCCTGCTCTAGTGCAACATTTACTAATGTATCTAACACTTCCTCAAAAGAATCAAAGACACTCAACCATCAGCTCAAAGAGTCAGACACTGACTCACATGGTCTCTTACTGGTATTCAAAAGAAATGTTCTGGTCTCTTTCTCTCTAGTCTCTCTTCTCTGAGCGCTCTATCTCTACTCTATGGTTTCTCTCTGGTCTATCTCTAATCTATGGTTTCTCTCTGGTCTATCTCTAATCTATGGTTTCTCTCTGGTCTATCTCTAATCTATGGTTTCTCTCTGGTCTATCTCTAATCTATGGTTTCTCTCTGGTCTATCTCTACTCTATGGTTTCTCTCTGGTCTATCTCTAATCTATGGTTTCTCTCTGGTCTATCTCTACTCTATGGTTTCTCTCTGGTCTATCTCTACTCTATGGTTTCTCTCTGGTCTATCTCTACTCTATGGTTTCTCTCTGGTCTATCTCTAATCTATGGTTTTTCTCCGGTCTCTCACCCTCTAATCTCCGGTCTCTCACTCTCTAATCTCCGGTCTCTCACCCTCTAATCTCCGGTCTCTCACCCTCTAATCTCCGGTCTCTCACCCTCTAATCTCCGGTCTCTCACTCTCTAATCTCCGGTCTCTCACCCTCTAATCTCCGGTCTCTCACCCTCTAATCTCCGGTCTCTCACCCTCTAATCTCCGGTCTCTCTCACCCTCTGATCTCTCTAATGTGATTGTAATAGTGAAACCCTCCTGTCGGTGGCGCAGTGAGAGAAACCCTGCTTCCACATCTACATTCATCTGAACCCAAAGAACCAAGGACACGTGGTTAAAACAGTAAATCACTTTAATTTAGTTCTCGTCAGCAGGAGCTCATGTCAACACGATGGACAAAGGAAGTGCGTCGGTAAAAGACAAAAAAGCCGAAAAGACAAAAAAACTAAATTTGACCGCGTTTTTTTTTTGCTTTCCACAGACGATTATTAAACGAGCAAATCTCTCAGTCCGATAAGAGCAGCGCAGCTTTGACCCGGTGAGAATAAAAAGACTTTTCGCTGAAGACTCGGGGCGGCAGCAATACACAGGATTGGCCACGCAGTAAAAGTACACGTTCCTTTAAGAAACAGGAGAGAGAACGCCAAAATCAAAAAACAAAACTAAAAACTATCCTCTGGGGTTTTGTTTAGTCCCATTTTCAAGTAGTATTTACCCTTTTTGTAAGTGTGTGATTCAAATAGTTTTCAGTTCAGCAAAAGTTAAAACAAAAAAAAAGGTGTTTTGTGAGAAGAAAATAAAAGACATTCAAAAATAAAAGGAGGCCAGAGGAATAATGTCACAACGTCCGCCATCTTGGAGAGACCCAGCGGCCATCTTGGAGAGACCCAGCGGTTATGCTAACCGCTAAATGAAAAAGGGAAAAACACTTCCATGGTTTAAATACGGAGCAGATGTTTGTAGGTTTTAAAATCGAGCCCAAATCCAAGAAATTGTCTCCGTGTGAAAACCAGGAGAAGTTCATATATCTGGGGTTCAAGTTGATGTACCTGGAATAGTTAATGTGGAGTTTTACTGAAGCCCAAGCTGTAAACTTATAAAAAATAAAACATCTTGGAAAAAAGTCAAATTCTTGGTCTGGTTTGAGAAAAAATGGAAGCGACCGCATCAGTCCGAAGCTCAGGTTTGTTGCGTTTTTGTCCAATGCGTTGAAGAAAAAGAAATCGGAATATTCCAGTTAAAGAGACCAAAGCCCGACAGGAGCCTGACGTTGCTTTAAAGGGTTTGGACCCAAAGCCTGAGCGGAGGTCCAGGGAAATGAGAGAAAGTGACGTGGAGCAGGGACAGATATGTTTAGGGTTGATCTCAGATTTTAGTTTGAATCCGTGAAGAGCAGATTTAGTCCAAACATGAACAGAGAAGTCCAGGTAGAGTTTTCTTTTAGAGGAGACCGTTGAAGCTCAGACCTAGACTTTAGACTCGTGGCTCTAGTCCAATGGTGGATCTTCACTGTCGCTGGGCGGAGTAGCGGCCTTCGCTGGGCCCCGCCCCTCGGCCTGTGCCAAAGCTGGGTTTGGGAGCCATGCCGCCCCTGGAGCCTGGGGGACCTCGGGGGCCTCCTCCGATCCTGGGGCCCCCCGGACCCCCTGGACCTCGGGGCCGGAGGTCGCGGCGCTCGCCCTCCCTCACCGAGCGCGTCTTCTTCTCCTCCACGTTCAGACGCACGTCACCGCGGAACTTTATGGGCTGAAGAAGAAGAACACAATCTACTGTTTATTCACATCACAATAAGTGTGGTGTGTTGTTGTGGTGCAGAGTAGTGTGTAGTGTAGTGTAGTGTAGTGTAGTGTAGTGTAGTGTAGTGTAGTGTAGTGTAGTGCAGTGTGTAGTGTAGCAGTGTGTAGCAGTGTGTAGTGTAGTGCAGTGTGTAGTGTAGCAGTGTGTAGTGTAGCAGAGTGTAGTGTAGCAGTGTGTAGCAGTGTGTAGTGTAGCAGTGTGTAGTGTAGCAGTGTGTAGTGTAGCAGTGTGTAGTGTAGTGTAGTGCAGTGTAGTGTAGTGTAGCAGTGTGTAGTGTAGTGTGTAGTGTAGCAGTGTAGTGCAGTGTAGCAGTGTGTAGTGTAGCAGTGTGTAGTGTAGCAGTGTGTAGTGTAGCAGTGTGTAGTGTAGCAGTGTGTAGTGTAGCAGTGTGTAGTGTAGCAGTGTGTAGTGTAGCAGTGTGTAGTGTAGCAGTGTGTAGTGTAGCAGTGTGTAGCAGTGTGTAGTGTTGTGTAGTGTAGTGCAGTGTGTAGTGTAGCAGTGTGTAGCAGTGTGTAGTGTAGCAGTGTGTAGTGTAGCAGTGTGTAGTGTAGTGTAGTGCAGTGTAGCAGTGTGTAGTGTAGCAGTGTGTAGTGTAGTGTGTAGTGTAGCAGTGTGTAGTGTAGCAGTGTGTAGAGTTGTGTAGTGTAGCAGTGTAGTGTAGTGCAGTGTGTAGAGTTGTGTAGTGTAGCAGTGTGTAGTGTAGCAGTGTGTAGTGTAGCAGTGTGTAGTGTAGTGTAGTGTAGCAGTGTGTAGTGTAGCAGTGTGTAGTGTAGCAGTGTGTAGTGTTGTGCAGTGTAGCAGTGTGTAGTGTAGCAGTGTGTAGTGCAGTGTGTGTAGTGTAGCAGTGTGTAGTGTAGCAGTGTGTAGTGTAGCAGTGTGTAGTGTAGCAGTGTGTAGTGTAGCAGTGTGTAGTGTAGCAGTGTGTAGTGTAGCAGTGTGTAGTGTAGCAGTGTGTAGTGTAGCAGTGTGTAGTGTAGCAGTGTGTAGTGTAGCAGTGTGTAGTGTAGCAGTGTGTAGTGTAGCAGTGTGTAGTGTAGCAGTGTGTAGTGTAGCAGTGTGTAGTGTAGCAGTGTAGTGTAGCAGTGTGTAGTGTAGCAGTGTGTAGTGTAGCAGTGTGTAGTGTTGTGTACTCACTCTGTTACTGAGAATCTTCTGAACTGGTTCCGCGTCGTCAAAAACCACAAATCCAAAGTTTGGCAGTTTCCCTCCACTGTTGATCCTCAGCTCCAGGACCGTCCCGAACTCTGCACACACACACATTATAACACACAGACACACACACATTATAACACACACATAACACAAACACACATTCTAACACTGTACGTTGTCTGTGGAGTCAGTTTCTTACGTTCAAAAAACTCTCGCAGTTCGACCTTCTCGACGTCGTGAGGCACGTTTCCCACAAACAGTTGATGTGCGTCTGGGAACCGCACCGAGCGTCTGCCCTCCCCCTCTGCAGGCTCCCCCTCCCGACCTGAAACACACACACACACAACACTTACTAATGTGAACCAACACACAACTATCCATCTCAAACATCCTTTTGCCTCTGATGTGTTTGACTAACCCGAACCCTGGACCGTGATAACTACAGACACACAATGATTCCTTTGTTCCAGTAAATGTAGAATTGTGTAACTATTTTACATGGATCTGTCCTGTATCTGGCAACCCGACAGTTAAAGAGTGTGTGCAGACGTGTGTCCTCAGGTCGGTAAAGTATTCTCAGGTTTCTGAACATTTGATCTGTGGAGACGGAGAAAGGAAGTGGGAGATTACAGCCGTGAATCTGGGTTTCTCTTCCAACGCTTTTGTTAAAGAGGCGTAATCTCGCCGCTGCAGAGGTCGCACCGAGAAGAAAGAGCGAGAAAGTGAGACGTCTAAATCTGCTGAGAGTCTTTAATCTTTTTATGCAGAAAAGTGTTTGTGTCAAAGAAATCCTCCAAAAGGCTGGATTTAATAATGAATAATGTACAGCTGTATTTTTATAAACCCAGAGAAGTCAGTTTCAGCTTCTTTCTTTGAGCTGCTCTGGGTTGGATCTCAAACGTACAGTTCATGCGAGGCAGCCCAAGAATTTACAGGAACTGGAGGCTTAATGTCATGGTTACTAGGTAGGGTAGAGTAGAGTAGGGTAGGGTAAAGAAGGGTAGGGTAGGGTAGAGTAGAGTAGAGTAGGTTAGAGAAGGGTAGGGTAGGGTAGGGTAGGGTAGAGTAGGTTAGAGAAGGGTAGAGTAGAGTAGGTTAGAGAAGGGTAGAGTAGAGTAGGTTAGAGAAGGGTAGAGTAGGTTAGAGAAGGGTAGAGTAGAGTAGGTTAGAGAAGGGTAAAGTAGAGTAGGTTAGAGAAGGGTAGAGTAGAGTAGGTTAGAGAAGGGTAGAGTAGGTTAGAGAAGGGTAGAGTAGGTTAGAGAAGGGTAGAGTAGAGTAGGTTAGAGAAGGGTAGAGTAGAGTAGGTTAGAGAAGGGTAGAGTAGAGTAGGTTAGAGAAGGGTAAAGTAGAGTAGGTTAGAGAAGGGTAGAGTAGAGTAGGTTAGAGAAGGGTAGAGTAGGTTAGAGAAGGGTAGAGTAGAGTAGGTTAGAGAAGGGTAGAGTAGGTTAGAGAAGGGTAGAGTAGGTTAGAGAAGGGTAGAGTAGGTTAGAGAAGGGTAGAGCAGAGCCAAGCCAGGCTGGTGCAAGCTAAGTGGGGGATGAAGACTTCTGATCAGAGCCAGGAGAGTTTCTTTGGTTAAAACAGTCCAATATTGTGCCTTCTTTTACACTGGTCTCTGTGTTTGGAGTCTGTGGGTCTCACCAGGTCTGGGCCTGTGCACGGGTGGGGCTCCCCCGGGTCTCTGCTCCCTCGGCCTCTGGTCTCTCTGAGGTCTCTGTGCGGCGCTCTGGGACTCGGACTTCACCTCCGCTCGGGGCTAAACGGAAACACAACACGTTTCATTATAAAAACACAAATATGAGAGTTGAGTGCCACATTGGTCTGTGTCTGGTCCCAGCGGAGGCCGGCTCACAGGTACAAACCAGGACTAAGTACCTGTGCTGTGGGCGGGACTTTGACAACGTGGGGGAGGGATCCGGAGACGGGAACAGCGCCGCTCGGAGGCAGGTTTTTACTGGTCACAGATGCCCACGAGAACGGCTGCAAGAGACAGACGGGAATATGAGGCAGGGACCAAAACAGTTCTTTAGGGTTGAAAATATATAAAAACCAAAGAGCGAGAATAAAACGCTTGAGGTACGCGTGTCTCGGCCCAGGCCCTAGCCTCCCCCTCTCTCGGCCCCGGCCCTAGCCTCCCCCTCTCTCGGCCCTAGCCACCCCCTCTCTCGGCCCTAGCCACCCCCTCTCTCGGCCCTAGCCACCCCCTCTCTCGGCCCCGGCCCTAGCCTCCCCCCTCTCTCGGCCCCGGCCCTAGCCTCCCCCTCTCTCGGCCCCGGCCCTAGCCTCCCCCCTCTCTCGGCCCCGGCCCTAGCCTCCCCCTCTCTCGGCCCCGGCCCTAGCCTCCCCCTCTCTCGGCCCCGGCCCTAGCCTCCCCCTCTCTCGGCCCCGGCCCTAGCCTCCCCCTCTCTCGGCCCCGGCCCTAGCCTCCCCCTCTCTCGGCCCCGGCCCTAGCCTCCCCCTCTCTCGGCCCAGGCCCTAGCCTCCCCCTCTCTCGGCCCAGGCCCTAGCCTCCCCCTCTCTCTCCGGCCCCGGCCCTAGCCTCCCCCTCTCTCGGCCCCGGCCCTAGCCTCCCCCTCTCTCGGGCCCAGGCCCTAGCCTCCCCCTCTCTCGGCCCCGGCCCTAGCCTCCCCCTTTCTCGGCCCCGGCCCTAGCCACCCCCTCTCTCGGCCCCGGCCCTAGCCTCCCCCTCTCTCGGTCTCTCTGCCCCTTGCAACCTTAGCCTCTCACCCTGTTCTCCTCGGGCGCCGTGGGGGTCTCCGTGGCAACCGACTCTGTGGGCGTAGCTGACGGGGCGGGGCTTTTCTCCGTCTCGTCGGCCGATAGCGAGTCCGTCTGTGTGTCCAGCGCCTCGGCCTTCACCTCCCCAGGCGCCTCCTCCTCCTTCTCGGGCTCCACCTCGGGCTCGGGGCTCACGGCCACGCCCTCGTCCTCCTCTCCTGGTCCCACGGGCTCAGAGCTGCTCAGAGACAGAACCACGAGGAGATTAGACGCAAGAAGCAACGTCTGAATATGAGGATTATGGACTAGTTTAAGAGATTCTGTTTCAGAAATCTGTGTGAAGGCGGCTTGGAATGCTAATGCTGAGAAAAGAGAATAACAAAACAGTGTGGAACAATGGGAAATCAGAAGCATGGATTTACTTTGTTGATTGGGCTCTTGGACTTTAGCTTGTTTGATGCATTAGCCTGGTGCTCATGTGTGCTAATGTTAGCAAAAGAACTGAATCTGAATAAATACAGTGTAAACCAGTGAAAAACCAGTTCATCGTGTAACTGCTGGTTTCAGACGGTTAGCGTCATTTAAAATTGCTCTCTTCCTCCCCCTTCTCTGTGCTCTCTTCCTCCCCCTTCTCTCTCTCCCTTCTCTCTGCTCTCTCCCTCTTGTAGCCCCCCCCCCCCCCCCCCTCTCAATCCCTACTTCCCCTTCTCTGCTCTCTCCCTCTGCTCCCTCCCTCCATCTCTATCCCTACTCTCTGCTCCCTCCCCGTCTATCCCTCTCCCTCTGCTCCCTCCCATCTCTGCTCCCTCCCTCTGCCCTCTAACTGCCTCTCCCTCTGCCCTCTACCTGTCTCTCCCTCTCCGCTCTCTGCTCCCTCCCTCCCTCCCTCCCTCCCTCCCTCCCTCCCTCCCTCCCTCTCATACACCACTCAGACTCAGCTCTCACCATGGGTTCTGGTCGTAGTACTGAGAGGAGTCTTCTGCCCCGGTGTCTGGAGACGGGACCCTCTCCTCCAGCTCCTCCCCCTCGTCCTCAGACTCTGCAAAACAAAACAGTCGTCAGCTCCCCCTGCTGTCTGACCAGCGCCACTGCAGGTGCATGTATGATGTGATTCATTTTGGCAGAGCATTAAACGATGATTTCTTAAGCACAAAATATTTTACAGACCAATATCTCCCAGAGCAGGAGACAAACTTTCTTTTAAAGCTTCATGGAGCTAGTAGGTTAGCATAGCCCATTCTTAGATACAGTTTACTCAATACACCCTAACCTCATGAAGGACTCACACAGTACTGTCAGAATAGAACCATTAATATCATATTAATACCATCATATTTAGTTCATTAATGCTAAAAGGTGGAGATGAGACTTTCCGTTGTTGTCCCAGTAATTCAATAATGTATGATTAGGTGTGTAGTTTATCCATCCATCCATCCATTTTCTACCCTTTAATCCATTTCTGGGTCAGGGGGGTGACAGTCAGAGATGCCACCCAAGTCTCATAGCACCAGCCCCTCACTGACCCTCTGCAGGTGGTGAGTCCACAGGAGGACGGCTGCTCTCTGACTGTGAGCATAGCCTTGATCTTTCAGTGGGGGCTTTGGGCAAAGTGGGGTTACGTGTCTTGCCCAAGGACACAACAACAGCAGTCATCAGTGGGAGTCGGTGGAGAAGGTGCAGAGGTGGGAATTGAACCCACGACCTTCAGGCCTGAAGGTCAATGCTCTACCAACTGAGCTACTGTCGCCCACGTCCATAGTTTAAAGTCTCACCTTCTGGGGGCTCAGAGTCGGAGTCGGCGAACACTTCGTCCTGGTAACGAAACACGTCGTTGTGAACGTAGAATTTGTTGGCAACAGTTCCCTGGGAAAAAAAAAATGAATAAAAAATGTTAACGACCACGACACAGTTTAGAGTCCATTCTCAGTTAAATTACACAGAAACACAGTTAGCGCCGAGTTAGCATGAGGTAGGGCTGGGCGATATGGCAAAAAAAAAAAATCTCCGATTTTTTCACACCAAATCCGATTTTCGATTTTAATCGATTTATTTTTTTCTATTTAAAAACAAACTACAACTGACAAAGAAATAGATTTTCCTTTATGCAGTTTAATCTAAATCCCCATGGAGCATAAGTGTAACAGGAATTAAGCCTTAAAACATGCTTATAAACAAGATGGCTCTGCCATTGTAAACAGTGAAAATGTAGCTTAACAGTTTTATAATAACTTCACTTACAATGACACTATGCACCTTCAAAATAACTTAAATCACACAAACAAGGCCCATCGCAAATATATCAATCCCATTAAACACATGCATTATTTACATGAAATATCACATTTTTAAAACTGATTACTCAAAATAGAAATGTTGTAACAGACAGTATTTTCCAAAAGCCTCCTCGGGTTTTCATGCTTGTTCTTTCAACTGTGCCTGAGTAACTGTGCTGTAGTACAACGCTCGGTCCAGCTGGTGGCGCTAATACTAACTTCAGTGACTCCCGCATTGTGCGAGCTTCCTGTTTACATTCTGATGCTGTAGCTAACAGCTACTGTAGCAGCTACTGTAGCTAACAGCTACTGTAGCAGCTACTGTAGCTAACAGCTACTGTAGCAGCTACTGTAGCTAACAGACAGCGGGGAACACGTTGTTTGTATCAGAGCAATGAGAGCAATGTGTGAGACGTGTCTTTCCCCAAAGTGCAGCGGCTCAGTGGGACACGAGTGTGTGCGCGCCACGGACACGGGAGTGCGCTTTGGAATAACGAGCGTGAGAGAGCGTGAAAGATGTGGCGTACGACCGGAGCCTGTGTGTGTGTGTTTGAAGTGTTATTGCAACAGCACCAACTGTGAGAGCGAGCATCAGGCCAGAGGGAGACTGTTAGCATTAGGTTAGCTTCAAAATGACTGCTCAACACCATAGACCCGCGGTTAGCGCGTTAGCGCTGTAGTTCTGCGCTGGAGAAAATAAAAATCGAATTTTAAAAAAAAGAAATCGCCCTAAACGTAAAACTCGAATTAATGATTAAAATCGATTAATCGCCCAGCCCTAGCATGAGGTAAAACAGCAGGTTCTGAATCCAACTTTAGTCGTGGTAAAGCTAAAGACAGAGACTTTATACTTGTTTTAACGCTAAAGTTAGACATTTCATTTGATTTATATCGTGGGAAGAAAAGGATCTATTCGTGCACTTACATTGATATTCAAAGTATTTTTAGTGGAATTTGTTTATTTAATATTATGCAAAAATACAATAGATCCTTCATTAGTCCCAGGCTGGGGAAATGTCAGTGTTGCATCAGCGGTTACACAGCAGTAGAATGATAAATGAACGATAACTCTATAGGACCCGGACTCGGACCCGGACTCTGACCCGGGGGTCTCACCTCTGGGGCCAGCACAAAGGTCTGCATGAACTTCCTCATGGGCTGCATGTTGTTGGAGAGCTCGCCCATGACCTGCACCACCACGCCCTCGTTCAGCGTGGTGTGAGCGTCCACGTGGCGGATCTTAGTGTGACAGTCCCGGAAGCTCAGGGCCATGACGCGCTTGTGGATCTCCTGCAACAGCAACAACAAGAACCAGAGTGAGAGCCGGAGATCACGCGACTGACGGGAACGTTCAAGAAGAAACGTAGAGAGAGATCGTTGAAATGGGGAAGGAAAAAACAAACATATACACACATGTACAAGTCAAAAAATGATCTACGGCCACAGTCCCGGGGGTCTTACGGCCACAGTCCCGGGGGTCTTACGGCCACAGTCCCGGGGGTCTTACGGCCACAGTCCCGGGGGTCTTACGGCCACAGTCCCGGGGGTCTTACAGCCTCAGTCCCGGGGGTCTTACAGCCTCAGTCCCGGGGGTCTTACAGCCTCAGTCCTGGGGGTCTTACAGCCTCAGTCCCGGGGGTCTTACGGCTTCAGTCCCGGGGGTCTTACGGCTTCAGTCCCGGGGGTCTTACGGCCTCAGTCCCGGGGGGTCTTACGGCCTCAGTCCCGGGGGGTCTTACAGCCTCAGTCCCGGGGGGGTCTTACAGCCTCAGTCCCGGGGGGGTCTTACAGCCTCAGTCCCGGGGGTCTTACGGCCTCAGTCCTGGGTCTAGATTCATAATAATTGTATCTTGAGAACAACGAAGTCATCTCATACAACAAAAAGTGACTATGCCAGTGCTAAGTTTGCAGTCTAGTGCAGGCTGTGACTTGTCGTACAGTCTGACAGCAGTGGCGCTGACGATAGAGTCTGAATAAAGAAATGATCATACATCAGGCCAATCAAAGCTTTCTTTATATCTGCCATCTTCCCCCAGCTTCTCCCACCCACGCAAATAAGCTAGTATGGCCTGTTACACCTCATTTTAAAGAAAACTATGGACAACCACATCAGAGTTCTTTGGATGTAATTTGGGAATCCTTTGTTTTGAAAAGTCATTGCCATTGGTTAAAAGTAAACATATAAAAAGCATTGCATAAAAAGTTGTGAAGAAAGATGTAAACTTTGTCCTTAACGTCGTATCAACGGCACATGGCGGCTCAGGTCGAGGAATGTGGCACAGAATATAAACGGCTCATGAACCACAGATAAGCCTCGACTTTATTAGTGCTGTTTGCTTTCAGGCCCGTTTCCTCCACAAACGTTTACAGTTATAAAGCCTAGTTATAAAGTTATAAAGTGTAGGTCCATGGAACACAGAGACAGGATATTTGATCAGACACTAGACTGGGATTGGGAGACACAATTCAGTCTGGTCTAAAATGGGGTTTAAGCGTCTGTGTTGATCCACTGCAACATTAGTGTAAGAAAGGGTTTGCTACGACTTCACATTTTTGAGTCACGATTATTGTGAGTGAAAATATTTTACGATTATTCACGATTATCAACATTATGAAAGAAAATCAAATCAGAGTGTTTATTTTTGTCTTCGAGATGTTTATTTAAAAAAACAAATGCAGTAATGTATACAGCCTAATTGTTTTGTAGTAGCAGTAGCTATCATTTTAATGCTATCGCTAGCTACTTTTAATCCCACCCTTAGCTACTATTAATTCACCCCTTAAACTACTTTTAATCCACCCCTTAGCTACTTTTAATCCCACCCTTAGCTACTTTTAATCCCACCCTTAGCTACTTTTAATCCCACCCTTAGCTACTTTTAATCCCACCCTTAGCTACTTTTAATCCCACCCTTAGCTACTTTTAATCCCACCCTTAGCTACTTTTAATCCCACCCTTAGCTACTTTTAATACTATCATTAGCTACTTTTAATACCTGGAAACCTGCATTTCTCCAACAGGATCAATAAAGAATCTTATCATAGTTGTGTTATGTCTGGATTAGTCTTGTTGATTAAGAATACGTGTTACTGTCTCTTTAAGAGCAGCTCCCGTTCATGTCCAAGTGTTTGCGGCCGGCACTTGTACTTTCACTTTTGATTGACAGAAGCAGAGAAGACCTTTGCACGAATACGATTATTTCATGAGGTGAAGGCGGGTCTGGAGATGAATAGACTCTGGAAATTCACGATAAGCTTTCTGTGGAAAACAAGGACTTAGAGAGAAGGTCGTGGTGGACAGCGGCGCTTGGAAGAGAAGCTGAAAGGACCTGTGCCTCACGGCGGACTCTGGATAACGGAGGGAATGAGTGATGACTTAATTAGGATTTAATTTGGTGTTAAGAGTTTACACTGGTCTTGGATCAGAGCAGCTAATTGCTCAGACAAACTCCCACAAGGCAAACGTGTTACTGTCTCCCCGATGTCTGCAGGCGCCTTATCTACCGACCTCCACACTCCACTTCAAGGCCATTGATGGACTCCATTATAATATTCACAGATTCTCAGTCTGGCCAGCTGCTGACTCCCCCTCCCTCCTACATGTCTGCCTCTCTTCAGTATATTGTCTACCCCCCCACCCTAAGCCTGGGCGATATGGCTGAAAACTCGGTCGATAACGATATAAATGTGATTGTTATTTTTAGACCAAAATAATTACATTTGGTGTCGGCTAACACACGATCGCAGCACTTGTTTTTACAGTCACGGGGGAATGAGGCTCGAGGAATATGTTCATACTGTGTCCCCCATTGTTAGTCCTGGTTTAGCTCCTGGTTTAGCTCCTGGTTTAGCTCCTGGTTTAGCTCCTGGTTTCCCCGTGACGGCTCCGTGCAGCTCTCTGATAGCTCTCTGAATAAGTTAATCTCTTGCTTTCGCCGAGTGCATGTCTCTGTGCCCACTGCCTCTCCCGCCGCACATGCTGTTCCTCAGACATGCAGAACCATTGACACAGCATTGAAACACCATCTATAGATCCATGGACGCTACACATGGTGCGGTTGTTGTTTTTGCATTTCCCAGAATGTTTTGCGGTTCATTCTCGGCCGTGATAGGTCGAGAAGCCTCTGCCTACATCCCCCAGAATGCCACGTGCTTCTGACTCGGCTTTACTTCCCGTGTTTTCTTCCAGTTATTTCTCATGGAGTGGAGTTGAACTATGGAACATTCTATCGACTTCATTTTCTATTGATATCGAACACGTGTGTTTCGCAATATATGTCGTTGTCGTTTTATCGCCCAGGCCCTACCCCACCCTCACCCATAACTCCTCTGACAGCCCACATTGGACATCAGCGACACCACCTCATCTTTAGGATTCCCAAAGTGATCCACACTACAGATTTCAGTAGTTCTTTCGGTGGATACTCGTCCTGCTGTCTTCCGTACCAGGAGTAAACTTTGCCATCAAAAATCCTTACGGTTAACCTACCGCAGTATTTTATCATCGTGATAATCGTAAAACCGGTTACTCTCTGCGACCCTAGTGTAAGATGAGGAATTTTGTGACAATCAATAAATAACCTGAGTACATACAAAATACTGACGACTGGATTGAAAGAAATATATAGTTGTATGTTTACACTATAACTTGTGCATCCATATTTGGTTTTCCTCCCAGCATCAGATCTAAACCAGGTCTTGAGCATGACTCAATGAGGCTATAATTAGGACTAACCCAGGACAAAACCAGGACTAACCCAGGACAAACCCAGGACAAACCCAGGACAAACCCAGGACAAACCCAGGACTAACCCAGGACTAACCCAGGACTAACCCAGGACTAACCCAGGACTAACCCAGGACTAACCCAGGACTAACCCAGGACTAACGCAGGACTAACGCAGGACTAACCCAGGACAAACCCAGGACAAACCCAGGACAAACCCAGGACAAACCCAGGACAAACCCAGTGGATGATGGGGCTGTTCTTAGAAATGATGAACCCAAAGTGAGACAAAAACATAATGGATTTAACTCCACTGCAAAGAACTTTAGTTTCACCAAAATGTTTTATCTGGAAAAGCTACGTCAATTTATTCACCCTTTTGTTCACTGCTTTGATAATAGAAAGTATAAAAGGATTCACAGCCTCTGCATCGAGGTGTGTAACAGTGCAAACACTCACAGCCTGTCCATAAACGGCCTCCAGAGGTTTGCCGTTGTTGTCCAGGCCTCCGTGGACGTAGGACGAGTTCTTCCCATAAAACCTGAAGAAGAGGAACGTGTCAATCACAGAAACAGTAATAAAGCACACACACACACACACACACACAGCGTCAGCTCCACGGCGTCTTGAAAGCAGACGGAGGATGGAGGATACTAGTTTGGGAGAGGCTCACCTGTGCAGATAGTCCGGGGCCTGGTTCAGCAGAGTGTAATACTGTCGGACAAACTCTCGCCCGACCAGCTGGGCACTTGGCTTCTCCATCACCATCGCTTTGGTCGACTGAAAAGATCTTTAGGGAAAAAAACAGAAAACATGTAATTAAACAACAATAGTCAAAGCCACAGACCTTTAAGAAACTCAGAATATTGCTTCTGACAGGTTTGAATAAATTTCTACATCCAGAGCTGAACTATTTGTTTTAGATGGAGCTGTATTCACAAAGATACAACTGTTTGGTAGAAATTGCGATAAAATGAGAAAAAATAGACAATGGAAAAGCAAATATTTTACTCAAATGCAACGATAGCAATAATCTAAGCTAGCTTTAAGGCACGGCTCGCTGCTACAGTCAGTGGTGAAGACGAGCAGAGTCAATTTCAATCATTTTGGGCCACATATACGCTAAATGTTGCTTCAAGGGAGTCCGATCTACAAATATGCAATGACACTAATTATGAATGAATGTTTTACGCTTTTGTATAAGAAACTGAACTGAACAGCATGTTTAACTATAAAACATTAACATAAAGTAAAAACTTAAGTGAGACAGGAAGGTACACATAGGCCTGTCGCGATAGTCAATAAATCAATTAATCGCACGATAAATAAAATTTGCTCAATAACTTTTCTGGCCGCGATAAATCCCATTTGCATGCTTGTTTGTTTACCCCGTCTCTCTCGGGTCAGAGAGCCGCAAAGTGGTCACGGCAACATTAGAGGTCTAGCAAGCAGACGAAAATTACTCAAAAATACAAAATACAGCCAAAACAGGACCTAAACCAGGACTTAACCAGGATTGACAATGGGGGACACAGTAGTTGTGAACATATGCCGGCAGCTGAGTTCTCATTCAGGCTTGATTAGTGACTATACTAGCACAGCTAGCGTTAGCGTGTTCGCCGATGCAGAAGTACCGTACCATACCAATAAAATAAACTTATGGCGCACCTCCGTGAACACATACTGCTGTTATATAAAGTCTCTAGAAGGTCTCTGAACACAGAGATGCTGCAGACTTGCATTCTTGGAGTAGAACTTTACACAAAAAAATCCGCTAGCTTAGCTGTTAGCATCAAAGCCTGCCCCGCTACTTCCGGTGGGCGCTACCGCAGCAGGACTTCTGTACGCCCCATTGGTGAATCCACATGTCAGTCACTTGTCATTCGCCTGGTGTGTGGGGAGGCGGGACTACTCCTGAGAGATCCTGTCTTAAGCCACACAAAGTCAACATGTTGGTATTTCTTTCTCGTAATCTGCCATAAAGTCTGAGAAATTATTGACATTTGAGGCATCTGTTTCATATTTTCTTTACAAAGGTCCTGGCAGTTTTATTCCTGGTCATTTTTTGTTAAGAGACTTTTATTTATTGTTTTTGGTTGTTTGTTAATTTATTGTGTTCTAGCGTTAAATATTCGTTAAAAATAAAAGTTTATTTCTCTTTGAAAAGGTGTACCTGCATTATCATTGTAATCGATGCAAATTATCTCAGAACGACAATATAATCGCTTATCGCAATAATTTCTGAGACAATTAATCGTCCAGCAAAATTTGTTATCGTGACAGGCCTAGGTACACACATTGACATCTCTTCAAATCCACAGATAAAATTACTATATCTAGTTTATCACAAATTGCGATAAACAGGATTTACCCACAGATAATGTGTAATACTTGCAAATGGCCCATGACTATTATTGAAAATTTAAAAGCGACAAAGGTTTTAGGGCTAAACTTTATCTCCTGTGATAAAACATTACAGTCCTGTCGGAGCAGTCTAGTTTTTTTCCTTTTCGTGCTTGGATCATAAAACACATGCTTCGTCTTGTTCCTTCAGCCACGACCGTCTCTAGATGTGTTTTGAACCGAGCAGACGTGACGGAGACTTTGAGTTTATGAAGAGAAATGTGGCTGTATCCGATTGACTGCAAACTTTCATTATCGTGTCAGGACCGCGGCCAAATCTCATTGACAGTTTTAATCATTTGAATATAGTCCGGGGCCTCATTACAAACTGGATTAGCAACCAGCAAGACTAGTACAAGACCAGAACAAGACCAGCACAAGACCAGAACAAGACCAGCACAAGACCAGCATAAGACCAGAACAAGACCAGCACAAGACCAGAACAAGACCAGAACCAGACCAGCACAAGACCAGAACCAGACCAGCATAAGACCAGAACAAGACCAGAACAAGACCAGAACAAGACCAGAACAAGACCAGTACAAGACCAGAACCAGACCAGCACAAGACCAGAACCAGACCAGCATAAGACCAGAACAAGACCAGAACAAGACCAGTACAAGACCAGTACAAGACCAGAACAAGACCAGTACAAGACCAGCACAAGACCAGCACAAGACCAGCACAAGACCAGAACAAGACCAGAACAAGACCAGAACAAGACCAGAACAAGACCAGAACAAGACCAGAACAAGACCAGAACAAGACCAGAACAAGACCAGAACAAGACCAGAACAAGACCAGTACAAGACCAGTACAAGACCAGCACAAGACCAGCACAAGACCAGCACAAGACCAGCACAAGACCAGAACAAGACCAGTACAAGACCAGCACAAGACCAGCACAAGACCAGCACAAGACCAGCACAAGACCAGCACAAGACCAGAACCAGACCAGCATAAGACCAGAACAAGACCAGAACAAGACCAGAACAAGACCAGAACAAGACCAGAACAAGACCAGAACAAGACCAGAACAAGACCAGAACAAGACCAGAACAAGACCAGAACAAGACCAGCACAAGACCAGCACAAGACCAGCACAAGACCAGAACAAGACCAGTACAAGACCAGCACAAGACCAGCACAAGACCAGCACAAGACCAGCACAAGACCAGCACAAGACCAGCACAAGACCAGTACAAGACCAGAACAAGACCAGAACAAGACCAGAACAAGACCAGAACAAGACCAGAACAAGACCAGAACAAGACCAGTACAAGACCAGTACAAGACCAGCACAAGACCAGCACAAGACCAGCACAAGACCAGCACAAGACCAGCACAAGACCAGCACAAGACCAGTACAAGACCAGTACAAGACCAGAACAAGACCAGAACAAGACCAGTACAAGACCAGTACAAGACCAGTACAAGACCAGCACAAGACCAGCACAAGACCAGCACAAGACCAGCACAAGACCAGTACAAGACCAGTACAAGACCAGAACAAGACCAGAACAAGACCAGAACAAGACCAGAACAAGACCAGTACAAGACCAGTACAAGACCAGTACAAGACCAGCACAAGACCAGCACAAGACCAGCACAAGACCAGCACAAGACCAGAACAAGACCAGTACAAGACCAGAACAAGACCAGAACAAGACCAGAACAAGACCAGTACAAGACCAGTACAAGACCAGCACAAGACCAGCACAAGACCAGCACAAGACCAGCACAAGACCAGCACAAGACCAGAACAAGACCAGAACAAGACCAGAACAAGACCAGAACAAGACCAGAACAAGACCAGAACAAGACCAGTACAAGACCAGAACAAGACCAGAACAAGACCAGTACAAGACCAGTACAAGACCAGCACAAGACCAGCACAAGACCAGCACAAGACCAGCACAAGACCAGCACAAGACCAGCACAAGACCAGAACAAGACCAGAACAAGACCAGAACAAGACCAGAACAAGACCAGAACAAGACCAGTACAAGACCAGTACAAGACCAGAACAAGACCAGAACAAGACCAGAACAAGACCAGTACAAGACCAGTACAAGACCAGCACAAGACCAGCACAAGACCAGCACAAGACCAGCACAAGACCAGCACAAGACCAGTACAAGACCAGCACAAGACCAGCACAAGACCAGAACAAGACCAGAACAAGACCAGAACAAGACCAGAACAAGACCAGTACAAGACCAGTACAAGACCAGTACCTAGTTTCAGCAGAACAGACTTTATTAATATGTAGAATAGATTACAACTGTTATGTTCAGAAATGCTTGACAGAAGCTCTTAGTTATAGATTATGCAGGGCCCTTTGAGACTAAACCAGGAAAACAAAACCTTATTAACATGCTATACAAGGTTTTAAGAGCTTGTAACCTCTTAAATGTTTCTTACTGATGTATTTATGAACTTCTGATGCTTTTTGCATTGTTTGTTGTACTGCTTTTTTCATCTGCAGCACTCTGGTAAATAAATAAAATGTATTATTATGAGGTTATCAACAAGCACGTGTGTTAAATATGCAAACGTGTTGTTCCGTTCCCTTGTTGGACAGGTTTTGGAATCTTAATACACTTGTTACAACCCAAATAAAACAAGTAAAACTACATAAAAGTGTGTCAATGTGAGGCACAGTGTCTTTCTAGCACCGGTCTTGTCTCACAAACTGGCACAGCTATGATTAGAACAACACTGCTAACGGCATTCAGACTGAAATGGGGCATGGTACGAGAAGAGACAGACACGAACAGGGCCTTGTGCCATAAAAGAGAAAAGTGAAAGCCCCAGCGCAGACAGGGGGAGCAGACAAAGGCCATGCCGCGTCTGAGAGACCGAGCCCCGGCCTGGTCCCCCTGCACACACCTTCCACACTTCAAAACACACACAATTATTTTTAGATTAACTTCAACATCTAAAAAACGTGTGTAATCGCGGGGTTAGCTTGTTATTTAAGAACTCACATGCTGTTGAAACACGTGTCTGGGAAGAACGGGCAGTTTTCTAACACAAGCTAATGATGCAAACTGTAAAACACACTGTACACACAAGAACTGTACACAAGAACCGACACCGACAACTGGGTCAGGGGCTAGAGAGGTTTTAAGAGGGTGAATGGGAGAGGGGAAGCGGCAAATGAAGACGAAATGGGAGGGCTGGCTAGAGAGCTAACAGAAGAGGCTAGTGGGAGCTAACAAGGCTAACCATGGATTTGTTATAGGGCTGAAGTTCTGAAGCAAATGGGTTGGTAAAGCAGGTAAAAAGCATAAATTAGTCAAATGCAGACATTCATATATTTAGTCATTCATTATGCCACTATAGTTTTTGTATTATGCTAAAGAGAAAGATTGTATACTGCTTTTTATAACTATACTTTTGTATTTAGTTTAGAGTTATTGATCATTTATCTTGTGCTGTGTGCTCCTCATTTCTACTGTTTTGTAATGGATGATGCAACACATATTTCCCCACTGTGGGACTAATGAATCTCTTAATCTTCATCTAAAATAGCTATGGGTGGTGGGCAGCAAACATAAGAGTGACTAGGAAAGCATGTGTGACAATATAAGATGAACAAAGTTAGAAAAATGTCCTAGTTTGTACGAAATGAAGGCACAAACATTGACAGAAACCAGCAAATCCACCCATTCTATTGCTGCAGAGTTAAAACAAAAGTACTGATTGAAATTAATGGTATGCAAAACACATACTTTAGTCAAATGTATTATGCAACTACAGAAAACAGGTATGCTAGCTTTAAGATATGGGCAGCTAACATAGTAACCAGTAAACCCTGTGTAACTATAAAACATTTAAGACTATTAGTCCTCCCAATTGTCAATCATTTTGGTGATATGTGCATGTTAAATAAGACTAGAGGGTTTTCTTATGAAAGTGGAGAGGGCGGTTCTCTCCAAAATCCTCTTATATATCTTTAAAGTTTAACTGTTTGGGACACAATTAACTAATAGTTGTCGGCGGTCCTGCAGGAATGAAGATGTATGTTTTTGCAGAATTAGACGCATGCATGCTTTGAAATTGAAATAACTGTTTTTATTGTCTGTTTATTTTTTATTATCTTTTTTTTTTACTGTTTATTTTTTATTATCTTTTTTTTTTTTATTATCTTTTTTTTTTTACTGTTTATTTTTTATTATCTTTTTTTTTTTACTGTTTATTTTTTATTATCTTTTTTTTTTTTTTTATTATCTTTTTTTTTTTTACTGTTTATTTTTTATTATCTTTTTTTTTTATTATCTTTTTTTTTTACTGTTTATTTTTTATTATCTTTTTTTTTATTATTTTTTTTTTACTGTTTATTTTTTATTATCTATTTTTTTTTTTTTTTTACATATTATTGTCTATTTTTTCTTTGCGTCTGTTCTTTTTAGAGTTGTATTTTTGTGTTTCTTTTCTTTAATAAAAAGAATACACAGATAATATTGCTATTGCTGAAGCAGAATAAGCAGTGATTTAGATGAAAAAAAAAAAAAATCAACATTGTCAATTCACAACAATATACAGGACAGTAAACACTATTATAATGATAAATGATAAAAGTTTAAATAAAACAGACTTTAGCCTTGAGCAAAAGGAGACAGTGTTAAACGTGTTTGGGCCCATGCAGCCACTGGAAGCACAGTAACCCAGGAATGTTCTGGTCATTCTGCCAAGATTATGAATAAAATATTAATAGTTCTTGCATAATTTCAAAGAACAATTGCTTTGTTCGTCACACAAACTCCACAGCAACAATCCATCTATAGATCATTCCTAAACCACAACTATAAAAGAAAACTACAGAGCATTCCAAGCCATTTGCTAGCCACAAAGATGCTAAGTAACACAATCCTGAAGCTGTAAAATGGCTGCTCATTTGCATTATACCGTTATACATTCATTTATGATCGCACACACGAAAACAAGAGGGAAACGACTCATTTACAGCCGCTTGAATTCATAAAATGTGTGAAATTTGGGGAGAAAATGCTAATGCTAACCGGTGCTAACATGCTAATGCGTTCTGACTGGGCCCAACAAAGCGACGCACGTTCTCAGAGAAACGCTGTAAATGGACCGTTTGAAACCGAAAGACGTCACGTACGGACGGATCGGGGCGTGATAAATCTTACCAGTGCTGTGTTTATCAAACGGTGGATGAGTAAAGGAGTGATTCGTCCGTGAACCTCCTCTGCTCAGCGATCGGCAGGACAACGTGCCGGGGAAGAGTGGGCACCGGGTTTGGAGGGCTGACGTCCGCCATTAGCTCCCGCCCACAGGGACGCCCGAGCCAATCAGGAACGAGCTCGCCGATGTGTTCACCAATCAGATGCCGCTAAAGTGAACGGGAGACGGATGCACATCTAGCGCGTGTCTGGCGGCCATCTTGTGACTGGTAGGTTTTGGTTTCGTTTATGGTTTGAATTTGGTTTTCCTTTGAATACGTAATCCAGAAAAAAAAACAGCAGAATCTTTTTATGTTTTTAACACTAAAACACACTCTACATTTGTTCTGCATAGATCTTCTTAACGTTATGACCTTTCCTGTTTGGATTGTATTTCTGTGATATCAAAGCTATTCTTGATAAGTAACTCTTCCATTAACTCCCAGTGTTTCCATTGGATCAGGCAATTTATTCTGTAATCAAGCACCAGCTGAGTTCCAGCATGTCCTGGGTCTTCCTCTAGCCCTCCTAGAGTGGAGGAGCAGCATCTCTATTCCGAGCTCCTCCCTTGTGACTGAGCCAGCCACTATGCGAAGGAACACAAACATTTTGCCTGTATCTGCAATTTAGCATTGTGCTAAATCTGGGGCAGCCATCTTTTTAATGTACCTGTCCGTTGTCCTTTCAAATAAATAACTAACTAACTTTCTCACATCATGTGATTGTGGTAAACATTGTCCTTCATTCATCTTTCATTTTAATTTGGACTCACAAAGGGCTGAAAATAAGTCAGCCGTATATCAATAACTTTTTGTGCAAATAATTTTCTTTCTTTGCATTATTTCAAGGTCTGATAATTCATGGAGGCTGGCAATGATAATTCAAAACAAAAACATGCCCCAACAGCCAAAGAAATGTTCTCTGCAACCAGCAAAAATCAAACATGCATCAATCCATAAAAAGGCAAGACAAAAGTAGACAAACAAGAGTCTCTGTCTGTCTCTCGTCTGTCTAGGACCGCAAAAACATTTATGAATATTTAATTTAACAGCGAGTTAAGAAGCATCACAGCTACTTGTATTTTATATTTTGTTTTCTCGCTGTGTGTTCTTATGTGCGCTGCAGCATTCACATCTCCCCACTGTGGAATGAATAAAGGTTCTTTTATCTTCTCTTGCCATATTTGTAAAATAAGTGAGTTTTATTGTTAACAGTTTGTTGTAACATGAACGAACTGAATCCAACCAAAGATGGCAGACATGTTTTCCACCGCAGAACTCACTGCAATAACTCTATTATTATTATTAGTCACGTCTCCTCGAAATCCACCAATCAGAGGGAACCTGTGCTGCTGTCCAATCCCTGTACTGTAAATGTAGAAGGTGTTGGACCAATCACAGGCCACCATTCCTCAGACCGTGCACTGAAGCTGAGCGCTCAGCAGGGGGCGACAAAACGCAAAAGATCAGATCAAAACAGACTTATGAAACAGTATCAGTATAGTCCCGATAATCACACTGAAGGAAAAAAGGGGAAATCATGTTCATACTGTTATTATTGTTAAGTAAAATAGTAAAACCAGGACAGAGTTATTCACTGCCAGAGAAAGTTATTTTGAACATTTAACAAGTGTGATGTTCTGTATGTAACCGTAACCTTAACAGTTTAAACACTTATACTTTTACGTTTTGTATCTGTTGAGAAGTATAAGCTAAGGACCTTTAGAAATGTCGAAATTCCAGTGTTGCAGCGCATAGTATTGATCAGGCAGAATAAAAAAGACTATAAGCTGTAGGCCTAAATATCTGCAGCCTCAGTCCTGGGTCTACAGCCTCAGTCCTGGATCTACAGTCTCAGTCCTGGATCTACAGTCTCAGTCCTGGATCTACAGCCTCAGTCCTGGATCTACAGCCTCAGTCCTGGGTCTACAGCCTCAGTCCTGGATCTACAACCTCAGTCCTGGATCTACAGCCTCAGTCCTGGGTCTACAGCCTCAGTCCTGGGTCTACAGCCTCAGTCCTGGGTCTACAGACTCAGTCCTGGATCTACAGCCTCAGTCCTGGATCTACAGCCTCAGTCCTGGGTCTACAGCCTCAGTCCTGGGTCTACAGCCTCAGTCCTGGATCTACAGCCTCAGTCCTGGGTCTACAGCCTCAGTCCTGGGTCTACAGCCTCAGTCCTGGATCTACAGCCTCAGTCCTGGATCTACAGCCTCAGTCCTGGGTCTACAGCCTCAGTCCTGGATCTACAGCCTCAGTCCTGGATCTACAGCCTCAGTCCTGGGTCTACAGCCTCAGTCCTGGGTCTACAGCCTCAGTCCTGGGTCTACAGCCTCAGTCCTGGGTCTACTTATTGTCTTGTCTGCTCTGTTCAACACATCCAGTTGTAGTATGTCATGTGCTATATAAATAAGTTTCCTCCTTCTTCGATGACTTCCACAGATCTGCAGTATTTCTGTCTCTGCTTCTCTCTGGTCCTTCACATTCTCCAGAGCAGTGGGAGGAGCCTGGATGAACGGGTGGAGATGGAGGCCAGGCCAGAGCCGCTCTCTCCCAGGGGACGCTTTTTCCCCATGGGACCTGGGCGGGACATTTCTTACTCTAGTCTTTAAATATATGTACCATGAGAATTTCAATTGGCACTGGTCAGTATGTGTACCATGCACTTGGAGGGAACAACACACATGTATTTACTTGGTTATCTGTCATGGTTTAGATTTATTTCCTGTTTTGTTTTGTATTTTGTTAACCCTGTGTCTTCATTAGTTGTACTTCCTGTTTCCTGATGCCCCGCCCACATGTGTCTCACATGTGTCTCATTAGTCTCATGTGTCTCATTAGTCTCATGTGTCGCATTAGTCTCATGTGTCTCATTAGTCTCATGTGTCTCATTAGTCTCATGTGGCTCGTTAGTCTCATGTGTCTCATTAGTCTCATGTGTCTCGTTAGTCTCATGTGTCTCATTAGTCTCATGTGTCTCGTTAGTCTCATGTGTCTCATTAGTCTCATGTGTCTCATTAGTCTCATGTGTCTCATTAGTCTCATGTGTCTCGTTAGTCTCATGTGTCTCATTAGTCTCATGTGTCGCATTAGTCTCATGTGTCTCATTAGTCTCGTTAGTCTCATTAGTCTCATGTGTCTCATTAGTCTCATGAGTCTCCTTAGTCTCGTTAGTCTCATATGTGTCATTAGTCTCGTTAGTCTCATTAGTCTCATGTGTGTCATTAGTCTCATATGTCTCGTTAGTCTCATATGTGTCATTAGTCTCATGTGTGTCATTAGTCTCGTTAGTCTCATATGTATCATTAGTCTCGTTAGTCTCATTAGTCTCATGTGTGTCATTAGTCTCATATGTCTCGTTAGTCTCATATGTGTCATTAGTCTCATTAGTCTCATGTGTGTCATTAGTCTCGTTAGTCTCATGTGTCTCATATGTCTCGTTAGTCTCATGTGTCTCATCGTTAGTCTCATTAGTCTCATTAGTCTCGTTAGTCTCATGTGTCTCGTTAGTCTCATGTGTCTCATTAGTCTCATGTGTCTCATTAGTCTCGTTAGTCTCATGTGTCTCGTTAGTCTCATGTGTCTCATTAGTCTCATGTGTCTCATTAGTCTCGTTAGTTTCATTAGTCTCATGTGTCTCGTTAGTCTCATGTGTCTTATTAGTCTCATGTGTCGCATTAGTCTCATGTGTCTCATTAGTCTCGTTAGTCTCATTAGTCTCATGTGTCTCATTAGTCTCATGTGTCGCATTAGTCTCATGTGTCTCATTAGTCTCATGTGTCTCATTAGTCTCATGTGTCTCGTTAGTCTCATGTGTCTCATTAGTCTCATGTGTCTCGTTAGTCTCATGTGTCTCATTAGTCTCATGTGTCGCATTAGTCTCATGTGTCTCATTAGTCTCGTTAGTCTCATTAGTCTCATGTGTCTCATTAGTCTCATGAGTCTCCTTAGTCTCGTTAGTCTCATATGTGTCATTAGTCTCGTTAGTCTCATTAGTCTCATGTGTGTCATTAGTCTCATATGTCTCGTTAGTCTCGAATGTGTCATTAGTCTCATTAGTCTCATGTGTGTCATTAGTCTCGTTAGTCTCATGTGTCTCATATGTCTCGTTAGTCTCATGTGTCTCATCGTTAGTCTCATTAGTCTCGTTAGTCTCATGTGTCTCGTTAGTCTCATGTGTCTCATTAGTCTCATGTGTCTCATTAGTCTCGTTAGTCTCATGTGTCTCGTTAGTCTCATGTGTCTCATTAGTCTCATTAGTCTCGTTAGTCTCATTAGTCTCATGTGTCTCGTTAGTCTCATGTGTCTCATTAGTCTCATGTGTCGCATTAGTCTCATGTGTCTCATTAGTCTCGTTAGTCTCATTAGTCTCATGTGTCTCATTAGTCTCGTTAGTCTCATGTGTGTCATTAGTCTCATATGTCTCGTTAGTCTCATATGTCTCGTTAGTCTCATGTGTCTCATCGTTAGTCTCATGTGGCTTTCCAAAAATGAGAAAGATTTCAGATATTTCTCTAATGGTATTTGTCTCTGCCAAAAATGGTAAAGCATAAGTTCATAAATGCTCAAATCACGTGTTTTTTAATTTTCATCTTAGTTTCTTAAAATAGATTTGCCAAAGAACAAGATGTTTAGGTTAATTTAAAATGCAGATATGTCTCAAATTTTCTTGGTTTTTTCATAACAAGACATTTTTGCTCGTTCCATTGGTTTTCTTGGCCCAATAATGTTCAGTCAAAATGTGCTCAAAATTTTGCTAAAAACACTTGATTCAGGCATTTATTCACTTTTATTTTGTTTTGTTTTTCAGTGCTTTTACTACAACTCTCTGCTCACATATTTTATAACGCCATAAGTCCTATTTTTGCAGAGTTTGTCGTGTGGACGTGCTTTCCTCTTCAGACCTCAGGGCCGTGTGCAAAGCCTGTAATTCTTCTTTAAATAAATCATCGGTCACTTCCAAACCAGAGTCCATAAAAACCCTGGAGTTCAGACTTTCTCCCACATTCATGGCCTGAGTTCCTCCTGATCTGTGTGTTTACGTGAACAGACACAGGAAGTGAGTCCGACCACGGCTCAAACCGCTCCAACACAAACAAGACTAATGTGTAAATAAGAGTTTGATTGTGTGTGTTTGTCTGCGTTAAAGCAGAGTCCGTGGCCCCCTAGTGGACACTACAGGTAATACACATGTTTTGAAGGTTGTTTTGTGAATGATTTTAGGTCCAGACTCAGAAATGTTGGATCTCAATGGGATTTTCCTGCTTAAATAAAGGTTAAATAAAACAACTAATAAATAATAATAACAATAGCAGTGTCCAAACTTAGGTTCGAGAGCCAATTGCGGCCCGCTGTGTCCTCTGCTGTGGCCGTCTGCTTTGCTAACACATTAGTCCATACAATCATACATATACATTTTGTGCCATTCAGCCAACTTAATCTCCTCATATACAGACATACTACACCTCATTGTAAAACTCAGACCCTGCTCAAATCTGTCATTGACTTTGTTTGACTTTTACAAGCGTTTAAACTGGATCATTAACTATATTGTTTAATTATACTGTTTATAACTCTCGTGTCGCTAATGTACCTTTTCTACATTCAGCCATTTTCTGCCCTAATGTGAAATAAATATAACATTTTAGGTCATAAAAGCTTGAATTGAGTGTTTAAAAAAAAAAAAATCTAAATCTGAGTTTTTTGTGACTGTGTTAAAAACAGATTCTCTAATGGGACAAAGACATTTAGGCTTAATTCAAGAACTGCTGCTTTATGTTGTCATTCCAAAGGAGACATGGGTAAGATCATTCTGCTTTGTCCCATTGGGGAAACTTGTTTTAAGGCTCAGTCAGAATGTGCTCAGATTAGGCCAAATTTCAGTCATTTTTACATATTTTTCATAACTTTTTGCAGTGTACAATTACTTGAGATGCAATCGTGTATCGTCATGTCCACAGTTGAAATATATGAATAAAAAAATCAAATGTGAAACACTCTAGAAAAAGTAGAAAGCAGCTGTTTTGTACCACTTTATTTTCCATCTGGTTCTTTTCGTAAAAACACTGAGAAGAAAAACTCTGCCTGCGAGACCCCCCCCCCCCCTCACAAAACACTCAGTTTCACCACAAAACACCCAAACACAGACTAACGCGTGCAGAAAGCAAGCCAAAGGGGAGAGTTTATTTAGAAACTTTATTTTTTACAACGTTGTCTTTGAACAAAAATATATCAAATTGTTCCCAG